ACTTTCGTCCTTCCTCTTCCGACGTACACCGGCGTGGTGAGGAGCATCACCTTTTTTTCTTCGTATGGTTGCCGTGATGAAGCCGCTCTGCACGCTGTCCCTCCTTGACGGTTCTGCGAGGTGCCCCACACGCGCGTAATCGGCTCACCCGCATCGTACCAATCTACCCCACACACAGTGGACTCGTAGACGTCGTAGGAGCCCCTCTCACAGGGAGCCATCGCGAGGAGGCTTCCGTCGTCGCCCCACTCCACGATGGACGGGTCCCTGCAGCCCTCACCGGTCACATCGGACGAAAGCTCCCACTTCTTCTTCGATGGCGTGAAGCGCATGACCAGCAAGACGCTCTTTTTCTCCTTGTTGATTCCCTGCATGGGGAACACAAGCGTGCCATCGCCCAGCACAAGGCCCGAGCCTCCGCCACCAGCCAACTGAGTCAGGGAGTTGAATCTTGCTGCGGATTCGGGCTGCACCGCACGGGTCTCACTCCATGTGATTTTCTTATCGTTGCCGCTTCCACTGACACTTCCCTTCACCAGCACAAGATTCCAGCCAGTTTTGCCGGCAACCTGCTCCTCAGGCTCTGTACGGGTACGTCTGCCCAGCAGCATGTAGACATCTCTGCCAACCACAAGTGTTGTTGGCCGCATGATCTTCGTTGCCTTCTTCTCAGCCGCGTCACTTCCCTCCACAGGTTGCGTGTAAAGGAGACTTGTGTCCGCCGCCGAGAACTCCATTGCGCCCTCCACAGTTTCCTTGAGATGCTTCGACGCAATCCCAGTTACGCAGCCGGCCCCGCCGTTTTGCTTCGTGCAGTGGGCCTCGGCAACGGCAAAAACATCCTCCCCTACCGCAACAAGGCTGGGGACGCGAAGGGAAGCGACCGATTGAGCGGCGGCCCCAACACCTTCCCATGCAGCTCCAGGGATCTCCGTCGTCGCTGCAAACGGATCCATGACGTCCTCCTGATTAGCGGCTGCAGCGCCACTGTTGCCGCAGCATATCAACAAGCAAAGAAGCAGCAGCGTAGGGGAAAACAGACGCCGGGGCATGTTGGGCAGTTCACACTCGCCCTCGCCCTCTTCCCTCTCTCCTTGCGGTGGATCCGCCCAAGCCGCGACGGTTGTATGTGTGTATGTGTGTGTTGCTGTTTTTTAGCTGCAAAGCCTTCCAATCAGCAGCGGCGGCAAAGAGCCTTTGGTTTCTTGCCCTCATGCATGTGTGCGGGGACAAAAGAGTTAGTACAAGGAAAAAAAAGGAAGGCAACACAGGGATGCGTCGGCACACCGGCAGAAGAGGGATTTAATAACGGCGCGACTCCACACGGCGGCGGCAGCGGCAGCGGCGCTGGGGCCCGCACGGCAGCGGTGGGCATCGCCCGGGCCGCAGAAGACAACAAAAAGACAAGGAATAAAAATGAATAAACACCGCAGAAACCCCAAAAGAAAAAAAGAAAAAAAGAGGGAAAAGAAATTCCTCCGGCAGGTGGTGTTCCTTCACCTCACGTGTCCCGCAGCACAAGAGGACCGTGAGAAAGATGCATGTATATTTGAACACCTGCATAAATAAAGCAAATAAAACGAACAAAACATCGCCCATGCTGCGTGAGCCCACACATCACGTTTGCACCTCTCGGTGGCAGCGACCTCGTGCCTCGTTTGGGCGCTCCATGCGACGCACAGCCACGAGGCCGGCACCGCGTGTGTGTGTGGGCGTGGCAGCAGCAAACAGGAGGGTGAAAAGGGTGCGCCGCCCGTGGAAACGTGCATGGGGTGGCGAAGCAAAAGAAAAAAGTAACCATCCCTCAGAGCACAGGAGGGAGAGAAGAGCTGCCCCAAAGGGACAACAAGCAAAATGAGCGCACAAAGCGTACGCGTCGCCCCTGTCGGGGTGCGTGTGGGTGTGTATCTTTTGCCCTTCACCACTTACCCAGCAGCGCAGGCAAGGGCAGCCGTGAGGAGCAGCATGAGAGGTGCACGCACAAACAAAGTGGAGGTGGCACTGCGATCCGCAGCGTTTGCCACGGCCTTCTGAGTGGCGTTGCTGTTGATGGCACTGCCGTCCGCGTTGCTTTTCGCGTCGTTCCCATCACTCGAACTGTGGGTGGTCGCCGTCGTAGTAGTAGTAGTGGTGGTTCCTTCATTGTCGCCGGAGGCAGGGGCGGCGTTGGGCGTGCCAGATCGGTCTTGGGGGGTTGAAGGTGTTTGTGTACCTCCAGGTGCATCGGCTGCCCTGTCTGCTGTCTGTGCTGACGAAGCCGCAGTGTCAACCGACGACGTTGGTGTTGTCTGAGGACCTTCTGCCGATTGTTCCTGACTTCCGGTGGGTCCCGCCACGGTGGCTGGCTGGTCCCCAACAGTAGCAGTGGAGCCCCCATTCCTCGTACGGTCTCCTTCATGAGTTCGCGCCGAAGATGACGCTGCTGCTGCACCTGCCGATTGTTGTGGTGGGTCTGCTGGTTGCTGTTTTCCGGTAGATTGGGATTCAGACTGCGCTTCAGCCGCGGGTTGGCTGGGGGTCAGAAACTCACAAAAGCCGGACGCGCCAAGTGGATTCTCCGTTGCATTGATGGTGAGGGTGTCGCTTACGCCCTTCGACAGATTGTGCAGCGCACTGTTTGCGGCCGCCGTACAGTTCATCGTGAACGCAACAACGTCTGTGCCCCCTGCTGGCTGGGATGCAGGGCAGCCCCCCGCCGGGAACTTCCACATGTACACCGATCCGGCAAAGTGGCAGAGGGTATTACGGTAAGCATCGCCTTCAATGCTCCCCGCACTCTTCACTGCCTGCGGACATTCATTCCAGTCAGAATTACTCTTATCAGCAATGCGCCAACGCAACTTCTTCGCAGCGTTCGGGCACGACACATCCACTGAAACATTCACCTCCTCCTCCTCCTTCGCATTAGTCGCCCCGCACACAAAGGAGGAGCAGAGCAGCGCAAGGAGCGCCAGGGCGCACACCGCACGGCGCCGCACCGTCAGCGCCATCAGTAAAAACAGCGGTGGTGGTGTTGGCAGCAGCGTCGCAGCGGAGCCAGTGGGCTGCGGGGCAGCGGCGAAGAAGAAACAGAGAGAGAAATGGGGAGCGCGGTGGGGTGCGGCGCAGAGAGTGAGGGCAGGGAGAGGGAGGGAAGAAAAAGGCGGCGGCCCACTAAGTTCACGCAGCGGCGCCCTGCAGCCGCACGAAAAGAAATTCATCCCGCCCCCGCCCCACGCAGACGTCTTTGGCGGTGCCACGGCATTTGGGAGAAACACACAACGTGAAGCTAAAAAACAGTACGACTGCCGCGCGGCCACGGGGCACGGCGCCTCCTTCTCCCCGCAGCAGCGCAGCCCGCCGGCTGTGCCTCGTGCCCGCAGGCAAATAAACACAAACACACAAATATATATTTT